CATAGTTGATCCATTCATCAAACTGACTTCAACAATGCCTTCCTGAATGGTGTGCTTCAAGAGGATATTTTTATTCGACAACCAAAAGGCTTCAAGGACCCCTCCAAGCCTAACCATGTCTACAAGCTCCACAAAGCCTTATATGGACTGCAACAGGCTTCCCGTTCTTAGTGTTCACAACTCAACTTTTATAAATGGGCTTTCAAACTTCAATTGCAGACACTTCTCTCTTTGTTTATTCATTTGGCTCCATGACTCTCTATCTATTGGTCTATGTTGATGATGTCTTGATGGTTGGATCCTCTAATGCATCTATTCGTGAGTGCATCATGCACCTATCGTGCCACTTCTCTCTCAAGGACTTTGGTCCTACTCACTATTTTTTTAGGTATTGAAATTCTCCAACATTCTGATGGACTCACCCCGAGCCAACAATGGTACATATATGATCCGTTACACTGAACTCGCATGGATACTACTAAGCCAGTTTCTTCTCCAATGGCTACCAACACTAAGTTGTCCAAATTTGATAGTCAACCTCTCTCTAACCCTACTAAATACAAAAGTATTGTTGGGGCCCAGCATTATGTTGCTATCACCCGGCCTAACATCTCTTTCACCATCAATAAGGTCTCGCAATTCTTACAGTCTCACACCGAGGTGCATTGGGTTGTTGTTAAACGGATACTCCGTTATCTCAAACATACTATCTATCATGCCTTGTGTTTATTCCAAGGCTTTGTCTCTGCGCTTCAAGCGTACTCAGATACTAACTAGGTTGTATGTCTCGATGATCATCATTCCGCTGATGATTTTGCTATCTACTTGGGGAACAACTTGGTTGTGAGGAGCTCTCGTAAACAGGCCATTGTCACACACTCCAGCATGGAGTCTAAGTTTCGAGTGTATGTCACGGTGGCTTGTGTTTATTCCAAGGCTTTGTCTCTATACTTCAAGCGTACTTAGATACTGACTGGGCTGGCTGTCCCGATGATCATCGTTCCACCGACGGTTTTTCTATCTACTTGGGGAACAACTTGGTTGCGTGGAGCTCTCGTAAACAGGCCATTGTCGCACGCTCCAGCATTGAGTCTGAGTTTCGAGCGTGTGCCACGGTGGCCACTGAAGTACTTTGGTGTGATAATATCAGAGCCACTTATCTTGCAACCAATTTCGCGTTTCGGGTATGTACTCACCATGTCAAAGTTGACTTCCACTTTCTTTGTGATTTGGTGCTTACTCGAGGTCTTCGAGTTTAGTTCATCTCCTCCAGCAATCAAATTGCTAACATTCTCACCAGACCCCTTGGTGGCACACAATTTACAACTCTACGTAACAAGCTCCATGTGCTTGATCGACATGGAGCTTGAGGGGGTGTATTAAAGTAGCTTCCACGTGTACAATAGATAGCTCTCTTAGTTACATTAGTTTCCCACCAAGACTCTACTCTCTCATGTAAATCTTATCATGTATCTCTTCTTATCTTCCTATCCCTAAAGTTCCCATGATATGAGAACTCCTTGCGCATACAAAACTCTATTAATATAAATATACTAGGGACAATGGGCTCATCACTGGTCCAGTTCATTCTCTCATTACCTGTTGTTGTGACCTTTACCAAACTCAAGAGTGGATTTGACAAAACGACCCACCAAACAAGCTTGAAGAAGAATAATAAAAATTCATTGCCTAATGCATAGAAATTGGGCACTCTAGTGTCACCTAGCTCATTTTTTAAATAAATTCCACTGTCACCTAGATCTAGTGTTTGCCTTTCTCAACCAACCACCATGCTTGCAAAAAGCAATTGACTTGTGCTTGTTAGATCTGTTACATTCAGCCTTTATGCTTTGACCTATGTTAGAAATTTCGCTGGTCATGTCAGCCTCTATGCTTTGACCCACGTCAGGTAATTCGTTGATCATGGTGGCTTCTATGCTTTGACCTGCATCAGAAATTCCGTTGGTCATGTCAGCCTCTATGCTTTGGCCTGTGTCAAAAATCCCGTTTGTAAGTCCCCTTGTTTTGACCTGCACTAGTATTTTAATTGAGTAAATAGAGAAGATATAAATGATAATAAAAATAATTAAAAAATTAAAGAAAGAGAGAGAAAGAAAAGAAAAAACAAAACAGAGCAAAATAGAAAAGAAAAAAAGAGAGAAAGAATGAAAGAATGAAGGATAAATAATGTCTAAAACTCTGTAACAATTATTTCACATTGTGCTATGTCAAAGAGCAATTATGGTATATCAATTTCAGGACCTCTATACTTGAAATATGTTATTAAAATCTTTCAAAATGTTTCCAAAAAAACTAAAGAATATTTGTTGGTGTTTTGTGATTGTGCTTTGCAAGAAGCTTATTATCCTACGTAGTCTTAATGATTGATCTGCTTGTCTTTAACATGGTTTTCTTAGTGATAAGTTTAACCTGATTTCATAAGGTTTTTGATACCTAAGAGGAATCATTTTTTCGAAAAAAAAAAGAGGTAATCAATTTTCACATTATGAGTTGTTTCTTATATGATTTTCTTTGTGACAAGTTTACCCTGATTCCATAAGGTTTTTGATACCTGGGAGGGGTCGTTTTTCCAAAAAGTAAATAGTTCTCACATTATGAGTTGTTTTTTATATGTGTTTTCTTTACGGCAATTATGCTCTGATTCTATAAGGTTTCTGATACGTAGGAGGGGTCACTTTGCTAAAAGTAATTGGCTCTCACATGATAAGTTGCTTTCATAACTGTTTTCTACGTGTTTGTTTTTCTTTACAGCAATTATGCCCTGATCCCGTAAGGTTTCTGATACCTAGGAGGGGCCACTTTGTCAAAAGTAATTGGCTCTCACAGGATAAGTTGATTTCATAACTGTTTTCTACATGTTTATTTTTCTTTACAACAATTATGCCCTGATTCTGTAAGGTTTCTAGTACCTAGGAGGGGTCACTTTGCCAAAAGTAATTAGTTCACACATGATAAGTTGCTTTCATAACTATTTTCTACATGTTTGTTTTCTTTACGGCAATTATGCCCTGATTCTGTAAGGTTTCTAGTACCTAGGAGGGGTCACTTTGTTAAAAGTAATTGGTTCTCACATGATAAGTTGCTTTCATAGTTGTTTTCTACGTATTTGTTTTTCTTTATGGCAAGTGTGCCTTGATTCCGTAAGGTTTCTAGTACCTAAAAGGGGTCACATGATAAGTTTCTTTCATATCCATTTTCTACGTGTTTGCTTTTCTTTATGACAGATATGCCTTTATTTCGTAAGGTTTCAAATACCTAGGAGGGTCACTTTGCCAAAAGTAATTGGTTCTCACATGGTAAGTTGCTTTCATCATTGCTTTTGTTTTTCTTGGTTATCACATGATAAGTTGCTTTCATATCCATTTTCTACATATTTGTTTTTCTTGGTTATCACATGATAAGTTGCTTTCATAGTCGTTTTCTACGTGTTTGCTTTTCTTTATGACAAATATGCCTTGATTATGTATGCTTTCTGATACCTAGGAGGGTTACTTTGCCAAAAGTAATTGGTTATCACATGATAAGTTGCTTTCATCATTGCTTTTGTATTTGTTTTCTTTCTTTTACGACAAATGTAATATGATTCTGAAGGTTCTTGATACCTAGGAGTCCTTTGCCAAAAATAAAATGGCATGTACATGATAGAACGATGTTGCACAGGACCTTTTCTCCTTCACCTCAATCCTCCTTCCTCATTTTTCTCCTCTTCCGATCTAACCCTTCACAAAAATCTCTTATGCTTCTCTTTGGTCTTTGTTGTATCGTACTCTCCTACCTCACAACAAAGAAGGGCAATTGTCAGCACCTAATTTTTGCTTGGTCCGCTGCCTGAACCTCTAATTTACCCCAAACACCCGATAGACCTATCCAACCTCTTCGAAATGACTAAAAACCCAAAGAACCAAACTTTCAACCCAAAAAACTTCAAGTGCACCGTTAAATCTACCCAATACAAATCCGATGGTCCCAATTACCCCCCCGTCTACAATTTAACCCTCTATCAGACACCACCATCAAACTCATGACATACCTATACATAAAATTTCAGCTCAAGATTCCTTCATTTACCCCTTCATCAAGTGAAGATTCCATTCTGATGCTTCTCGTTAACCTAAACACTCAGAACCCAGATTCCCTTGATCTTAACACATCCGAACCAATCAAACCACACCATTAAACTTTGGATACATTAAAACACCTGCCCATAAAGTTTTTAACCCCAGATTCCCCCATTTACCCTTCTATTAAACCAAGATTCCGTACTAGATCAGACCATTGACCCAAGATTCTGTACATAATATATACTAAACAAATATTTATTTTTTATATATTATAATCGGGTCTGTCGGATCAGACCTGATTGCCCCAAGAACTAATCGGTTTGATTTTGGGTCCAAAAATTACAGGCCCTATCAGGTTCAGGTCCTCAACATTTCTTGTTGGGTAGGTTCTAATTCTAGTTGGTTCTGACCCTGACCCAACCCGTTGACAACCCTACCCAAAGCTTCATTTGAAAGGAGTAAAATACAAATATGTACAGTACAAATAGAGAGAAATTAATACAAGGTTTTGCACTATTTGTATTTGTACTTCTTCCAAATTGAGCTGAAGGGGCATTTTTGACATCAAAAGGGTATTAGTGTTACTTTTTCAAAATATAAGTCACATATTTGTGACATGTGAGCAGATTGAAACAGATTTTGAGTATTTTAAGATAGGGAAAATTCCTGATAAGTACCCTATACTTTTAGGCCTAGTGCCAATCTAGTACCCAAACCTTAAAGCACGATTATCTAATATCCAAACTTTCAATTTGAAATAATCCAGTACCTAGTATTAATTCACCGTGGCCATCACGTGAGATCAGGTGCAGTTTAAATAATTTCATAATGGTGAAACTAAACTTTATGATAATATTCTGACCATTTTTACCATTTTCTTTTTCTTTTACCCTATTTCCCTTTCCCTTATGGATCGAATAAACGAGAGAGGAGAGAAGACTGAACGACCGTTCTGCTATTCCGAGAATGCGCAGGTGGTAAGCTTCAATCAACTCCAAATTAATTAAGTTCAACAATGAGCCATGAATAAGGGCTATGTAAGAAGGATTTTTTACCTAGAATGAGCCACTCTCGGTTGATGCTGTAGAGAGCAAATCGGTTGTTTCCGTCTTGGAGAGTAAGGAACGTCATTTCCAAACCACACATTCTTGGGATTTTCTAGGAGTCAATTACATTCATCGACACTGATAACTGCTTTATTTCTTTATTTATTTTGAGCAAGCTTATTTGATGATGTAATCACTGGTCATCATCTATTCATCTATACTGGGTATAAATAAAATATGACTTTAGGACTTGCTTGCAAGAATTTGGCCGGAATCGGAGAGCTTCAACGATAGAGGGTTAGGGCCAATGCCCAAGAGATTTAAGGGGAAGTGTGTTCCTGAACAAAATTTTACAATGGCCAACTGCAACAGGTATGTTAATTAAGAAGTGATCGGCCAGAGCATGAAATCTTGATCTTTAGGCTTTCTACAATTTGTGGGTTTGGATTTCACAGGAAAATTATAGGTGCCCAGTACTACTTGAAAGGGCTTGAAGCAACTGCTCGTAGATCTCTTGAATCACTCATCCCTTCTTTCCTCTGCTCAGCTCGAGCTGAAAATGGGCATGGCACACACACAGCTTCAATAGCGGTAGGATCTGCAGTGAGCGATACCAGCTTATTCGGCATAGGTGCTATTGCAATGATGCAATGACATGCTCATGGCCATTGGCGACGCTATTGAAACCAAGAAGTAACCGAGTTTCATTTTGTTTGTTGTCTCCTCTAGCTTCGACAACGAGGTTGTCTTCTCCAGCAACAGTTGAGTTAAAAACAAGGGGTACCAGAAGCAAATGCGATTTGTTCCAGCAATTTCTTCTAAAATACACGAAGAATATCTTGGTACGATGCTATCTGGTGTGTGACTCGTCGATTTCAACTTTTACGGCGTCGTCTTCCACTTAACATCACCGACAGGAGGAATCAGTTTTTCATAACTTCAACTTCAAGTCACAGAGTGGGTGGGTATTTATGTTTTTTTGCATTTTGACTAACGGTGAGTGAACGCAGGTATTGGATTATCGCAAATTGAAAGTTTGCATACTCGAGTGGTACTTATCAGAAATTTTCCCAAAATATGTAAAGACTTATCAGGAATTTTCCCACACTCAGTTGATCCATTTCCTAAACTTTAAACTATTTTTATGGTTTAGCTAATTGATTAAGTGTATTTTTACTGTTTAAAAAATGACTAACGTTATCCATACCATTTCTGATAATTGACTAATTCTTCCCTTGCCGTTATCATCCATTACCAGAAACTCTAAAAGACAAAAAAAGAGACTATTTTACTCTTTATTCTTTTTCAAATTTTCAAAATAAAACAGAAAAAAGTAAACACTGATTAATCAAAACCCTAACCTTCCATCATCCTCCTCTTCGATCTCTCTCTCTCTGGATTGCAATATCCAGTTATCCATATCTGCATCTCATAATCTGTCTTGCTTCCTACTATATGTTTGCATTTGTTTCTGTGGGTTGCAATTTGCAACCTAGTTGATAGATCTTAGTCTGTTAACTATGATCCATGTATAAAGTTAAGAATTACTGGATTAGAATCCTTGTATAGTCTAGACTTTTTACCCCACAAAAGTTTCAACAACTGAGGGTTGCTAATATTTACTCTATTACACACCCTCTCTAGTTTTTCCACTTCAAGAAATACCAGTCTGGACTGATATGTAAAATGGGATGTTGTTATTCGAGTATTTAGATTGCTATTGATTGCGGGTATGGATTTGTATATTAATTTTTGTTAATTTTTAATTTGATGAACAGAGGGTCGGAGTTGCCTCAAAGGAAATCTACTAGGGCCCACTACATCTTAGAACGTCAACTCATGAGTTTGATAATCTCCACCATCGACCCACTATCGATCGAAATCCAAAGGTGGGAGAAGGTAGCTGATTCAGCAGTGGCGGTGCTGGCTGGCGGAATGGAGATGAACGGGAATCTATATGGCATTTCTCAGGGAAAGCCCATCAAGAGGAGAAGAATAAGAGTTCTTACATGCGAGAGGGATCCAGCCCAACTCTCGGGAATGAGAAAAAGAGAGAGAGAGAGAGAAGAGGACCACCGCCGCCGGGAGTTGCAGTGGTGGCGATTATTTAGTTTGAACGAGAAAAAACAGGGGACTCGATCACCTCTGGTGAACTTTCTGTAAACTCCTTTGAGCACTGCTCAAATTCATAGAAGACCTCTTTGTGAACTTCAAGGGGATACTGCTCCAAATCGTTAGCCCCAATACAAGGGTGAAAGAATTTCAGAGTTCATTTTAGTCTTTTGGAGATCCTGCTCCAACGGGACAAACGAAGAATCCACAATGAGTGCAGGGTCTCTCTTCTCGGGATACCAAGAATGAGAGATGAACGAAGGAAGGTGTGGCTCAATGCATAAGCACCTGAGCAGCGGTGGCCTTGAAACAGCTGGTGGTGGGTACACCGGATTCGTGGGATCACCGTTGTTGGGTGATGAATTAGATGATGGGTTTGGAGGTGGTAAGATGAAAGGCACTAGTATTCAGATGTTTGGAGATTTGTGGAAGAGGAAGGGCCAAAAATAATGGGGGAGATGGCTACAAATAAGAGGAAGGGCCAGAGGTGGAGGGGCCCGCTGCTGCGGTGAGGAAACAGGGGAGAGAATTGTTGAAAAAACATTAAAGAGAGTAGATGGAACTTATCGATAATCGCTTTCCAAACTGAAGTTGCAGTAATGTGAAGTTGTTGCAGAAACTCGAAACTAAGAATTGCAGGAAGATGGAGGGTTGAGTCGTGTCACATGGTCACTCTCCTTAAAACTGTATTTGCCCTTTAAGGTGCATCCGTGTGATCGCAAATCAATTGCCAAGATAAAACAACCCACAGGCCATTGGTAGGCATGCACTCGCTTACCAGACCTCCACGAACCATAGAAAATTGATTTCTCAGAGAAAACAAGAATGTCGAAAATGGTGTGTATACTAAGCCGGCCAGCACTCTTCTTATAGAGTGCTCTCATACCCGAATAGATACAAATGTGTCCTTTCAGACAAGAGACTCTTTAGAACAGTGCACCTGTTCGAAGAGACACAAGGAGGAAGAAGAAACACAAAAAAGAAATTGTTTTAATTTGAAATTAAATTCGAAATTGAAAATACTCAATTTAAAAAAGAAAATGTGTAATTCGGTTAGATCAAAAAGATTCGGTGCATCGCACGTACATGCACACACACACCCGCACCCACGCCCTGACCGGACCCAGCCCAGCTCGATTCAGCACGGCTCGGTGCGCGCATGTGAAAAGCACCCCTTGAGTTAATCTTGAACTATTATAGGAGAAAACTGATTTCTAATTAGATGCAGATTACCTATTAGCAATTAGATTAGAACAAACAACCGAAATAACAAAAATAGATTCCCAAATTGAAAGAAAATAAGAAGAAGAAATCATCCTTTGGAAGTAGAAAGGAGATGATGAACTCACACGCACACCCGCACCCACGCCTTGACCCGACCCGGCTCGGCTCGGCACGCACATGTGAAAAGCAAGAATGTTGAACCATAAATCGAGAACTGTTGACAGCATCCAGTTCCTCATGAAAGGGTTAGCAGAGATAGGTTCCATAAATACGGTTTTAAGATTGTTGAAAAAACAGTATAGAGAGCAGATGGAACTTATCGATAGTCGCTTTCCAAACCGAAGTTGCAGTGATGTGAAGTTGTTGCAGAAACTCGAAACTAGGAATTGCAGGAAGATGGAGGGCTGAGTCGTGCCACTTGGTCACTCTTCTTAAAACCGTATTTGCCCCCTAAGGTGCATTTGGGTGATTGCAAACTAGTTGCCAAGATAAAACAACCCACAGGCCATTGGTAGGCATGCACTCGCTTACCACAAGAATGTCGAAAATGGTGTGTGCACTAGGTCGGCCAACACTCTTCTTATAGAGTGCTCTCAGACCCGAATGGACATAGATGTGTCCTTTCAGATAAGAGACTCTTCAGAACAGTGCACCTGTTCGAAGAGACACAAGGAGGAAAAAGAGACACAAAAAAAGAAAACGTTTTAATTTGACTTAATTTAAAAAAGAAAAGGTGTAATTCGGTTAAACCAAAAAGATTCAGTGCATCACACGCACACACGCCCACACCCACGCCCCAACCCGACTCAGCGCATGAACGTCAAAAGATTGAAAATGTGGGACAAGGAGTCATTCAAGGGTGGGAAGAGGAAATGACAAAAAGCAAGAGAGGGATGAGAGAGATTCTTGTAAATTCGAATCTCCCTCCAACAATCCCCCACAAGATTGAAAATTACAAGAAGATCGAACAGTCTGAGCATCATAGTGAGAAAAGTATTCATGGTGATGTCTTTTGGAGTTCAATCAACACTTAGGTATAACAGGCTATGTTACAAAGTACAAGTGGAGTCAGACTCCTTCAACCTTTTCTCCTTATCGTAACTAGCTAACCGGCCAACCAATTCACCAGTTTAGACCAAAAAGATTTGGTGCATCATACGTACACGTATCCACACCCGCACCTGCGCCCTCGACTCAACTCGGCTCGGCTTGGCACAGCATCCGCGTGTAAAAAACACTCCCAACCCCCCTCACATGCATGTAATATCTATAGTCCTCTACTCCTATGGGTCCTACCCATAGAGAGAGCAAGACTACAAATATACTCCACTTCCACTCATTTCCCAAGAAATGTGGGACAATGAGTCATTCAAGGGTGGGAAGAGGAAAGGACAAAAAATAAGAGAGGGAGGAGAGATATAAATTTGAATCTCCCTCCAACAAGAATTGATAGGTGATTTTCTCTATGCTTATGCTGCATTCCAAAGCATGAAGGCAAGGTTGTGCCTCTACGTAGCAGGAGATCTAGAGATGCTAGCTGGTACCAGAGGGAACAATGATATATTCTGTGAGAGCTAGTGCTAGTGTTAGAAGTTATAATAAGGGTAAATTAGGTATTTTTGGAAGTTAGTGATACACATTTGAATGATTTATGACAAGGTTCAAAATATCGATACTTTTATTTCCTGAAATCGGTTTACGGGGGCCGATTTAGGAATCCTCTACCCCCTTAACTAATTAGACCCCCGATACACCCACTATAGGGGCGTATTGGTGGGTTGAGGGAAGTATTAATCAATTGTCAAAAACAATAGAGATAGGCTTAATAAATTTTCAACAATAAGGATACATTTAGTCAATTAACTAAACCATAAGGGTAGTTAATAAATTTACCCTTAAAAATTTCCCCTTAAATTTTTCGTTCGAAAGCGGTTTAGAAAGCCCTAGCCTCTTGCTCGTCGCTCCTCCGTGGATCTATCATAACTGAAGAGAGGGCGAGAAAAACCATTCACCATTCTTTTCCCTGGATAGAGTTCCGAGGAAGGAAGCTACAGACGCCTAGGCTCCGGAGGTCCGTAATTCTTACCAGTAAAGATTCTCGATCTCCAGTTCATCATCCAAACTTCTAGTTTCTTATTAAATTTATCTTTAGTATGTAGATGAGTAGATCCCTGCCTATGTGTTTAGTTAATGCGGAAAGTGTAGATTAATTTGTTGGAAGGCTATGCAAGTAATCTCCTGATTACTTTGATCTCTTATTTAGGGTTTGTTATCTCCTTTTGTGGCAATTAGGGTTTCTGAGGAATTGTCAATGGATTGGGTTCTTATGCATGTTAAAGTTAAACACATTTTTTTTTTCTCTTCCTTCCTTCATTCTTTCGTTCTTTCTTTCTTCGCATAACTTAACTGTAATTTCTTTAATTCTCAATGCCCAGTGGGGTAACGATATTATGTTGTTCTTTTGTCCCTTGTACCTATTATTTCTCTCGATTTTATTTTTCAGATATTTTCATGTTTAATTCATAATCCGGTATCAATAATGACGTAGCCACTTTTTTTTCTCCTGTTTTTAATTAGGTTGGCTCCCCACCCCCTCCAAAAGAAAAAGAAGAAAAACTTGTTCAGAATTAATTTATTTTTCATATTTTGAATTGGGTAGTGGGCACACGAACTACATATTTATTTGCAATCATTTATTTATTTATCTCGATAATTAAACAGTAAAAATTGATAATATCTACGGCTCATGGAAGTCATGATTCTGGCAGTAGAATGAATAGACAAATCGGAGATGTCTAGCGGAATCTGATGTTCATCTAGAGTCTTTATATTTGTGGTAGATCACTGCCGGTGTAACTCGTAGCTTTTTTTGACACAAGTCCCCTCCTCTCATTCATTCCTAAGTATCTATATCCAATTTTAAAAATTTCTCATGGATTAACTCATGAATTCAATAAATCGGAAGGATCTGGGTCTTGAGGTGAAATTGAGAAAAGGGAGATCTATGGGAATGCTGAAGAGCTATATTCTCTACTGAACTTATTTTGTGCACTCACTGTATATTTATTTGTTTAAGTTTGGTAGTGTTTTTGGGCATTGATTATGTGCTGGAGTCATTTGAGTTTTTAATAGGGTGGTGTTCTAGTCGAAGAAACTGGTCATTTAAGTTTGCAAGGTTGGTGCACAATGGTGAGGCGGAGGCAGTGTTGTATGCTTATTGTTTATTAAAAATGGAGATAGTATGGTTTGCTTATTGGATAGGGATTTTATTATAGTGTTGGAATTTGGTATTTTCTTTTTGAAGAGAAAGATAGAGGGTTTGATGTGGACTGATGGAGGTGATTGTGGACATATGGTTGTAATGTGGACAGGGAGCAAACGGCAGCTGTGGTGGACTGTGTTGGTAGTGGTGGTGTTGGTTCTGCCAAACACTTGTGATTGGAAAATTAGGGAAATATTCGAAGATGAGCCAGCGCAGCAGGAGCAGGAGTCCGCGGGATCGCAGGATTCGTACAGAACGATTTTCCTACCGTGATGCGCCTTACAGGAGAGACTCACGTCGGGGGTTCAGGTTTCTGGTTTCTAATTACTTGTATTGTTTTCTTTGTCATTCCCCATGTGGAAAAGGGAAAAAAAAAAAGAGAAGGGAACAAAAGCTAATACATGTCTCATTCAATATGGATGCTTGCTGTTGTTCCCATTTTTGTTGAATGAGGCTTCAATTAGACTTTAATTTGTACTTCAGGATGCACCAATGCAAAGAATTCTGCTTGTTTTGGATTTTTTTTTGTGTGTGTGCATGCAGCCTTTCTGTTTAATGGTCTCATGTATCCCTTTGTAGTATATGACTTAATTGTTAAGACCTTTATACATGTTTAGACTTTATGTGCAGCTCTGTGGGTATTTATGTTATGTGGGTGATCCTTAAAATTAGTTACTTCTACCAAGCTCTCTTTTTGGTACTTATGTCATGGATTGCATTTTGTGAATAGTGAACCTATAGATAGATAGATAGATAGATAGATAGATAGATTTTTCCCCAAAAAAGCAATTTTGTTTAAATATCCTGTACAATACCATACCACAGAGTATTAGTATGTCAACGTGGTCACAATCAACAAGCATGAGTGCATTAATCTAACACCGTTACCATTTAGTTGACACCTACAATTTCCCTGTTCAATTCAAATATTTTTTTATTGTTTCTGTAGGTCAATTTCAAGCCTCTGTACATTTTTTTTTTTAATTATAAACTGTAACCACGATTGAAGAGATGTTATTAAAATGAATGAAACACCTTGACTGGGTTGACATTATTTGGCTGTTTTGGGTTTTGTTGGAACCTGCTATTTAGGACTCAGAAGAGTAATTGGATGAACAGACAAAATTCTGTTTTTTTTTTGGGGGGGGAGTTATCCATACCATTTTTTAACAGTAGAACAAAATTCTTGTGTGATAGCATGTGAAGATGGATGGACAGTTATTTGCTGTTTTGCTATGCCATCAAAAAAAAAAAAAAAATCCTACCGTCTAAGTTGTTGGCTGTTAGAAATTTTTCTTAAATCAAATGAACATTCTTTGTTGTTTGTTATTGAGAAAAAAAGATAAAAACAAGAAGAGATAAAGTAAAAGGCATCCCCTTTTAATTGCCAAGGTTTCAGAAAATATTGAAATGTTGACTCAGTTCTGAAATTTCACTCAATTTCTGGACATGTTTTTTGCCTTAAGCCTTGTCAAAACCTGCTCCACAATCAAAATTTAAATACTTGGGATGTATGATCTGTCTAGGTAAGAATCCAACCCTTGTATTATGTTAAAATAGGTAAGATATTTATGTGCTTTGATATTGTTAGAAATAAAGGTAAAATAGTAGATAAACGAAAGAGGGTGGAAAATTGTGTTTATTATTCTCCTTTATATTCATTTATTATGTTACATATAAAAAGAAAAAAGTGGGTTGACATGTACTAGAAAATGGGGAGCTAATGGAAGTGGAATGGGTAATTTGTGTCTTAACCAATCATTTGCAATAAGTGGTTGGAGGAAAAATAGGTTTGGCACATAAGGCTTCTGTACTAAGCACATTCTCCTTGAATATATGTTTTTTGTGAACTTGTATCAAGCATATTTCGTTAAATATTTACTTGTCTGGAGGTGCATTTTTCCATGTTGCCTTCCCTTTGTAAGCAAGAAGTTTCATCTTCAAGATTTTGCCAGTCTTGATAAGATTCTTTATGACTAGTCAAATCCATTGGGTTATGGTTCTAGTTAAAACCTTAAGATAGGGTTTTCTATATGATTCTAATTTAAGTTAGGAGAGAAACCACTACTTTTAAAGGTCTTCTATGTTCATGACTTCGCATACAGAAGCCATACCTAGGTGTACAGTTTAACTTTTTTCCCTTCATTTATACACTGAATCTCTTTTGTTTGGTGGCTTTCCAAAAGAAACTGTACAGCTTCTCAATGCACATGGGTTGATACTTTGTTTTGGCTATTCTAATACAATACTTTCTAAACTAGCATATATTATCATCAAATATCTGATCCAAATTCTTCATTATCTCTTTCTTTTTGTTTTAAAGATGCTGTTCATCTGCTCCCCCCCCCCCGGTTTTGTCATAGTCACATGAGTAGGAGCCAGAAGGTGTTGAGCATCTCCTTCATCGGTCACCCCCGCAAAAGGGGTAAGCTTGCTAATAAATTTTTCTTAAAGCAATGAGCATCACAGGATTAGGGACATAGTATGACCGTTGAAAATTATTTAGGAGTAGTTGTTTTGGGCAGGCATGGATGATTGTATGGATAATTCATGAATGACAAGGAAAAAAGGGGATGTTTTAAATTGTGGGGAGGGGAAGTTCGTTGATTGTAGTGGTGGGACTTGCTGGTCATTATAAGGGGGCTCCCAAATTGTTGGGAATGGTGTGTTAGAGATTTCCCAGCAGGCAGGGGAGAACAACAGAAGTAGAAAGGGGGGATCGAAGGTTTCATTGCCACATCCTGCTAAGCCACTTGGGAATCTCTCTCTCTTTGTGGTTTGGTTAGGGTCAGGGATTGGTGGTGTCTGCTTAGAGGTGTAATGTGGGCTGCCCACACTAGTGGGCCTTGATGAGCTGTGCTTGTGTGGCATGAATCCCCCAAAGAGGGAAGCCCAGCATGTGTCCGGACCACCTGGCACAGCCTGCCTGGTACAGTTTACAGCTCTATGTCTGCTTAAGGGTGCATGCCCTTTGTTGCAAGGTGGGGTGCTTCGGTATGTTGGGATTTGGATGTGGTGTGGTCTTTCCCATGCAGTTGGATCTTTGGAATGCTTATACCTGTCAAGACTCTTTTTGGGATGCTGGAATATGCTGCACTTGTGGTCTCTTGGTATTCCTTGTTTTATTGCAAAGAGGTTGGTGTACTAGGCTGGTTTTCCTTTTTATACCCTTCTCTTGATGGATTTATTTCATTCAGAGAGAGAGAGAGAGAATGAAGAAATCAAGAAAACATTTTCAAATCATGGTATCTTGTTACTGATCCTAAAAGAAAAAAAAAGGATCCTTGTTGCCTCTGGAAAGTAATTTAAGACATGCAAACAGAGATTCATCTACTCATAATGTTTCCCATGTTAGATTCTTTAAATTCAAACTGAAAGAACTTGTTCTCTGAAACAAACTCTAGTTCAGAGTTAGAAGTATATGGCTGACTAAAAAAGATGTGTATTGATTATAGTTTAAACTAGATTTGTTCTTAGGTTGATCATCCCTGCTCTTTATTCAAGCATTGAGATGCTGCTGATTAAAATAATCATGGGACTTGTGTCTGTATCATTGGAAAATATTGTTCTGTTTATATCAGGTCTTTTTTTCTACTGTGCTATATTGTCTGTAATTCTTTATACTTGAATTCTTGGTTGCCCATATGGCTCATAGATAATTGGTTTTCACTTTCTAAAAATTATGTTTTTAGATGGGGAATTTGAAACGAAGGCCCCCTAATAAACCTACGAATACCAGTAACAATGGGAACATAATTGATTTGCCATTCTTACAACATTTTGTTTTTTGTTTCTGAAGTTCTATAATTTTTTTCTTTCTGCAATTAATTCCATTCGGATTTTTTGCCCCCTCCAGCCAAGGCAATCTGTGCAAAAATTGCAAGAGGCCTGGTCATTATGCAAGAGAATGCCCTAATGCTGCAGTGTGTAACAATTGCGGTCTTCCTGGGTAATGAAATACAACTTTATCAACAAAGCAATTGTATTTACTTGCAAATACAAGAATGCAAGAAGATTCACTTTTTTTTGTGTTCTTCCTTGGATTTGTATTGCCCATTTTGATTGATGTTGTCTATATCTATGCATATAAATTCTTTACCAGGCACATCGCATCAGAATGCACAACCAAGTCTTTATGTTGGAACTGTCGAGAGCCTGGCCACGTGGCCAGCAACTGTCCAAACGAGGGTATCTGCCACACTTGTGGCAAAGCTGGCCATCGTGCCAAAGATTGTTCGGCTCCTGAGCTGCCACCTGGTGAGTTGAGGCTATGCAACAACTGCTATAAGCAAGGCCATATAGCTGCTGATTGCACAAACGACAAGGCATGCAATAACTGCAGGAAGACAGGCCACTTAGCTCGAGACTGCCAGAATGAACCTGTTTGCAACTTGTGCAATATCTCTGGGCATGTTGCTAGGCAATGCCCCAAGGCTGACATTCTTGGTGAGAGGGCTGCTGGGGGTCGAGGTGGTGGTTATCGAGATGTAATCTGCCGGAGCTGCCATCAGATGGGCCACATGAGCAGGGATTGTATGGGCCCGTTGATGATTTGCCACAACTGTGGTGGTCGAGGACATATGGCATTCGAGTGCCCATCTGGGAGGTTTTTGGACCGTGGTCCTCGAAGGTACTGATGGGATGGGGGAAACTTGCAGCGTGGGTCAATGGGAGACGATATAATCTTGTTGGCTCTATCTACCTTTGAGTCCTTTTGGTTGTTAATTTTGAAGTTCATAACATTGACGGTTTGGTGGATTTCGGCAAGCTTTTCCATTAAGTGAGATTTAGCATGTCTGCATCTTCGGCTTACTTGAAATTATAGTATGGATTTATACATTACATTTATGTTACTGTTAGTGAACTAATTTGCCCTGTGTCTCATGACTTCCTCCTCCCTTGACCTACCCACTTTTTGGAATCATTGATGTATTTTTGTTGGGCTGGTTGCCTTTTTTACTAACTTTGATCTGTATTTGAAATCCTCTACGGGCGTTGAGTCTTTGGGTCGAAGCAGGAGAATGAAGGAGCTTTTATTTGATCCTTTATTGTTGCAAGCGTCAACTGCTTAAACCTTAGTTTTTTTGTCAATTTAGTTGATACTGTGCCCGTATTGGGTTGATGCTAGGGGTACTGGTGGGATAAAGTTAAGTTTTGGCCTTTCCACCTGCCACGTATTTGTAACATTAACATGAGAAATTGATTCCACCCCCATGGTGGAAGTTAGATGATACATATTGATGCTTTGTACATCTGTCCTGTACATTATGGTCTCACATAACAAGGCTCAGTTTGGAAAGGAGTATAAATACAAATCTGCATGCTACAAAATATTAATGTCCGGTTCATGCGAGTGCAAAAGTGGTTCAAGATTTTCATGCCCACTTATCACTCAGCTCAAGATCTCCGTGCAAGTGCAAAGTGGTTGACCGTTAAGGTTGGAGATTACAGATCAAATCTCGATTGCACCTGGGTTTGGGAGAGAGAGTGGGGGGGGGGGTATGGGTTGGGGATGGGCTACCCCCCTCCCTTCAAAAGTTGTTAAAAAAAAGTCCATTTGTTTTGCATGATGCAAAGAACAAGAACAATACAATTTTTTTTGTGGATGTTTGACACTTTAATCAATGCAAAGACAACTGTGTCTGCTACCCAATGATGCTCCAACTATTCCCCCACTAATTTTTACCATTTTCCACGTTTATATGCAACAACATCAACTGTTAAAATTTGTAATCTGCCACAATCTAAAAGTAAAGGAAACATGCAAATTACAATAAAAATAGCAGAAATTTTAATATATATTTCTCACATGCGTTGCACGTGAAAATTTTTTTTTCATATTAATTACTTGAATTTTAGATATGTCATAATTAAGATAGAAATTGAAAATTAAAAAAATAACAATATGATTAAAAATAAACTTAAATATTTATTATAGAATTATGACATCATGTGTTTTTTTAGAAAAGTTGGATCATTGATCCATCATCTAGATAAGAAATAGCATTACTTTTGGATTAGTTTTAAAGTAGGGAAAATTATAGTTGGAGCTAGTTGTACATTTAAAATTTGGTTACAAGTTGGTCCATAAACCAACAAAACTTTAACAAATGGCTCTACATTTCAAGTTATAAAAACCTTCGCCATGTCATCGAAGGGTTATGTGGCTACTGCCAACATGGGACTCTTAATCCATATTGGACACAATAAAAAGCTTATACTGAAATTGCCCTCTAATGTTGGGTTAATAGAAAATAAAAAAAAGGGTTTTTAGTTTCTCTCTCTCAATCTCCCTCACACTCTTTCACTCACAATCATCTTTATCTGCTTAATGACTATGTGATTTGAAAATTAATAAAAATGGTTTTTGGTTTCTGTATTTACGTTCTCTATATCAAATTCTCTTATTCTCTCTCTCCACCTATCGTTCTCCCTCAATCTCTCCCATTCTCTTTCTCGATCGATTTCTCCTTCTCCCTTAATTTCTATCGTTCTCCCTCAGTTTCCCTCTCTCTCGTTTTTTATTTTCTTATTTTCTTACACACTTATATGGTATTAATCAAATCGTGTAAAAGAACATGAGACCAACTTGGTATGGTTAAAAAATTATTACACCAAATTGATAAAATTCACAAGAAACTCTTGGTTATGAAATTTACACCAATTGGAGAACGATAGAGATTGAGGGAGAAAGAGATTTTAACCGAGAGGGAGAGTGAGGGGGAAGAATGAGAAAGATTAAGGGAGAACAATAGAGAGAGAGAGAGAGAGAGTGAAAGGTTTTGATTTGGCTACAGACCGAAGCAGAGAGAGTGGGAGAGATAGAGAGAGTAGGAGATCGAGAGATGACTGTGAGAGTGAGAGAGAAGGGAGGGAGATTGAGAGACAGAGGGAATGGAAGAGAAACTGAAGACTTATTTTCGACATAGGTTTTTTGTTGTGTCCAACATGGAATAAGAGTTCCATGTTGGCAACAACCACATAAGCCTCTGATGACATGGCGGGGGTTTTTATAATTTGAAATGTAGAGCCAGTTTTCAAAGTATGGTTGGTTTTTGGGCCAACCTGCAACCTAATTTTAAACGTACAACCGACTTTGACTACAATTTACCTTTTAAATTATATATTTCATTTACATTGTATAAAATATTTTTTACTTATTACACTTAATTTTTGTTTGTCTATGGTATCATTTTACTCAAACCATTAACCCACCATTTAAAAATAAAAATTGTTTGATTTCAAGGTTGACATTAAATATTGCATTACATTTCCATCATTGATAAAATTATTTCATATGTATAAAACTCATTTTTTTTCAATATAATGAATGTACAATATTAGAGATGTACCCAATATTTTATTTTTTATAAATATATAACATTAAATATGTGTCCAAAATTTTCTCTAATTTTTTTTTATTTTTGTGATTCTTTGTATTTTCTATTATTAAAAAGTTTATCATTTGACTCTAACATCATTTAAATTCTGGGTAGATTTTGAAATTGGCTTTCCATTTCACCATTAACAAAAATATTTCTTACATTTCATAGTTATTTATTTTATTTTTTATTATTTAATTATGACATTATTTATTAATCCATTTGACCCAAAATGGTCAAATTGCTTGCCCACCACAAGGAGGGAAGAAAATGATTTTGTTTTCAATTACTTTTCAAAATATTTATTTTTATACTATTAAAATTAATATTGTGGATTTAATTACAAGAATTTAATAATGAGAAAAATATATTCTAAATATAGGATTTAATGAGAGAGAATAGGAAAATATTTTTATTTCCAATTGGTTTTAAATTTTACATTCAATTTTCATCATTAATAAAAACATTTCTTATTTAACATACTTATTATTGTTTAATTTGTATGTTGAAAATGTTCCCAATTTTTTTAATTTCTATTTTTTTCATTTTATCTATTTTTAATTTTATTATTTAATCGTGGCAACATGGATTAACCCATTTGACCCAAAATGATTTAATTTCTTACTACCACTTAGATGAAAACACTATTTTTGCTTGGTAGATTTTAAAGGTATAAGATTTTATGTTATTGGAATTATTAATTTATTAAGTATGAATTTAATTAATAGAACTTAATGATAAGAAGAAATAAAAATGACTTAAATATATGATTCAATGAACATGAATGCAAGTTAATAACTTAAATGTTGGATTTAATGAGAGAGGATTGAATGCATTGAATATCTTTAAATTACCTCTTTTCAACTCATTTAATGTCAAGAACCAATTACCCTACTTTCCCTTATTTTTTATCATTAAATCTAAATTTAGAGGGATAAATATTGTCCTTAGAAAATTCCAAAAATATTTGTGAGGCCATTAGTACTTTTTAAAGTAGTAGTATATATATATATATATATATATATATATATATATATATATATATAWATRYATAGAAAAGAACAGAAATTGAATAAAGATATAGAAAGTTCAACAATTACAAAAGAAAAATAATAGATCATTAAACAAATATAAAAAACAGATTGATTAATAAGTTATAAAAAGTAAAAAATAAAGGAAAGTTTATCAAAATTTTCAAAAAAGAAAATGCAGAAAACAACAAATAACAAAATATTTAAACATAACCTAGAAGCAAATAATAGATATAAAAAACGTAAAAAGTGCAAAAATTATAGATCTAAAAAATATATCATTTAGATAGAAGTTCAAGTCCTTTATACGACTTGTACAGCCTTGTAATTGATAGAAGTATAATGTGAAACCTAAAGTCATTACAAACAAGATGGGTAGTTATGTTGGATAAATGATCAACCATTGATTCAACAAAATTATGTTTTAGGAAGGTAATGTGTCGGGGGATGATTTTCAAATGATGGCCTTAGAACATGAATAGAGCATTTTAGAAGATGATATGACAGAAGATTCAGAAGACTCCCAGGAAGATAATGTGCTAGGGGATGATTTTTCAGATGGCATGCTAGAAGATGAAGAGAGCACTAGCACTTCAAAAAGTGATGATGATTTTCCATAAGATGATTATATGTAATCATATGTAACAACGGTCAGTAGTTGCTTCTGATTGTGATATGATATCAGTTCTTTGATAGATGATCTGATTGTCCATGGAGTCTCGATGCTATTTTTCAATTCTTTAATATATTCATTTAGCAAGGAGTAGACAGAAATCAGGTACTAGAATTTGCTACAGTGTTCTTGAACCATCTTTTTCCTCAATTGACTATCTTGAATGCACCATACTTATGGAGAAAGAGCTATCATAATCATGTACATAATGGCAAAAGGGACTTAAAAAATGTTTTTCATACATTGCTGCAACTTGCTTCTCCCTCCAACAAGGTACAAATGGATCGATGAACCACTTCATTAGCATCCTTTAGTTTTGGAAAAAAATGATATACACAAAGTAGGAGTGCAGAAGGCTTTATCTTGGACAACTTTAAGTTTTTTATAGGTTTGGTATGTTAAATGGTAGTGAAGTGGAGCTCCTACATTTTCATAATATTTGTACCAATTGTCTGGCATATGTTTTATGTTGGGTTATGTTTATAAATATAAATTTGCATAAGGATGTTTAAATGGTTTGACAAAAAGTTTTTAAGTATTAGGCAAGCATTTAGGTAAAGATGCATAAAGTAACAACTTTTAGCTTTAAGGGAAAAGTAGTTAATCAATGCATAGATCTTTTGGATCAGTTGCAATAAGTTCATTTTATTAGTTCTCATTTCTACATGTAAATGATGACAATTTGCTACTCTACTTTATGAGACCAAATGAGATTCTTATGGAGCATCTCTTGTAGAGGTATCTTGGATTTGTCACTAAGGGCTTGTTTTTATGGAGCATCACTAAAGGATATGATGGATAGATTTTTGGAGCTAGACCTGACTAAACAATAATATTATTTTTGGACCATAATAACCAATCAATAATGTTAAATTACTCTAATGAATCCATAAATCAACAGTTCTTTGAACCATATTAAAAATACAACTTAAAAGAGCAAGAAAAGTATACCCAAAAAGCT